ATTTTGGCCTGAAAGGAGGGATCTGAAACGATCTGAGATTGCACAGCTGAATCATGCTGGGATTCGACGTCTATCAACCAACCTGCATGTCTTGTGTCCTGTCCCAGAAACCATTGTGCTGGACTAAATCCTGACTTGCGCAACATGGAGTTACGTACAGATGAGCACACTTCGATCACTTCTGGGGCTGGACGGCTGGTTGTACGCCAAGCTCGACGTGCCATGTCCCGCAAAATGCGGTTCGCGATCTCAAGTCTTCCCAACTGCCAATGGCTATCTGCAGCGGCATGCAACAGTTGGATTCCATTGTGGGACAAGTAGGCTTGGAAATCCTTTGACAAGTTAATCTGATGTGCATCCATAAAAACTATTTTTGGAGCTCCATAAGGCCTAGTCCAAACTGCATGAAATGCTTGAGACAGCTGGTTGGTTCCCTTTTCAGGGACGACGATCTGCTGGGCGAAGTCAGTGGCGAGGCAAACTACTGTGAGCACGTTGAACTTCAGCTCCTCTAAACCATTGTTTTTACCCCCATTCTCTTCTTCCCTTGACAGCTCAACCTGGACGTAATCAACACCAACAACATGGTTTGGTTGATCGGCATGCGGCATGGCTGCATTTCTACGGAGGGTTGGAAGCTTCAACTCTTGGCACACAGAACATTTAAAGTTTCGGATTGCTCGCTTCACTGCTTCGGACGATTGACATCGGGTTGCCAGGCGCAACATCTGCTCAGGTGAGGCATGACCTGTATTGATGTGCAACTTTGTGACGATCTGTTTGGCTCTAGCTTCAACACTTTTGTCAGGGTCTTCGGATTCACCTGACGCTGGTGCATCAACTGGCTCACCGGATTCGTCTTCGACGGCATCAATGGCTAACAAGCAGTCGGCAGGGCTGGCATGGGCATTGGACACGGAACGGATGTCTTCGACAATCTGCTGAGAAATCACATTGCAAAACTTGGACGGATATGTTTCTGCAAATTTGGTGAGGTTGACTCCTTTGTACTTTCCTTCCAAGTGTCCATGCTCATGTCGGTGATCGCAACGGCAGCATGCAAGTGCTTCGGCTAGGCTTCTCTGCGTTGTGGCGATTTGCGTGGGTTTCATCACCGGCAACCTAGTTTTGGGGCATCTTAAACCCAGAGCACATTGATCTACCCTTACTGCATAAACATCCCCAAGTGTTAGTTCCCCCCAGGCTTCACTGGACAATGGATTTTCGGCATGGCAATGGCCTCCCAAGGTGGTTTGGAGAGACCAGGCTTCTGATACTGCATGGAGGTGTCTCCTAGCTACCGCCCTCTGAGCTAAGATACTCTCTCTGCATTTTTCATTCCTAGCCATGTTGAAACGACTCCATGGACCCCAACAACCGCAGGGAAAAGAGAACCATATATGTCTTGGGCGAAGCAATGCGATCAACTGCATCAGCTTGCGTCTATCACTCAACCGATTCAAGTCTTGGCCATACTGCAAACCGATCTTTATGCTAGGCACACCTAACTTGGATTGAACCTTGGAGGCGAGAGGTGCCTTGCCGGTGAACACTTCAATGAATTGTGGACATCGATCAATGGCATCAGCCTGATCGCCCAGCCATTCTCGGAGTTCCTGCCGGACACGGCTTGGCTCTTCCAGCACTCGGGTCAAAACAAGCTGAGCCTGTGTTTTTCTCAGTGAAGAGATGGCGTTTTGCAGTTTGACACGGATTTCTTCTGGCAACGGCTGCATATTTAATCCTACCCAGTCAGTTTCTTCATACAACACCTCAAGGTTATCGGAGGGAGGATTATCTTCAGAGGTCCTATTAAAGGTGAATGGGGTTTGATTGCAACACAGGCAGTTCGGCTCAGGCTGATTGTCTTGACCATCCGGGACAATGGTCGGCAGACTGGCACTACGGTATGCAAAAAGTGCTACATTCACCTGTTGGACTTGGCGTCGGTTGCTTCCTGCTGGACGGGCATGCCAAGGACCAACCATGAACTCTCCATCCTTATTGAGGGTTACAACAGATTGCAGCATTTCCTGATCACAAGCTTCATGGGGGATTCTTTCCAACCTAGGCCTGTATGCAATCATGACATGCTTGATGGCTTCGGCATCCCTACCATAAATAACTTGAAGTTGTTCGGAAAATTGGTTGACAGCTGCAATACCATTTTTGGTGTTCTTCACGATATGTTGAAATGCTCTACGCCTATCACTGGTACTTGGAAGGTTACCAACAGATCTAACAGCTTTTCGGGAACCATGGTCCTTAGGGCTGTGTTCTGGGACTGGTGGCACATCCATGTAGGCGGTGGCATCATCTTCATTGTTATTGGGCTCATTCATACTACCATCGGACTGCACATCAACTGACAACGACTGTGGTTCGGTCTCACCAACGTTCTGAACCTCCAACTCTTCGGGGAGATCACACAGCGGCATGAGGAAGTGTCCATTTGCGGCTTGTCGGAGTGGAACATCCCTCATATTGTGTGGAATACTGGTGATTGTCTTTTTACCCAGATCCAAACAGGCTTTCATTCCTTCAAGAACTCGGCGTGACATCAAGAAAGGAGTTTGGCCAGGCACCACATAAGTTGTTACTGTTCCCCATAGATCCCCAAGTTTCACATGCCACTTCAAACCTTCGGTTGTCTCCACTTTCTCCCCCTTGAACCCTTTCAGCTCCACTGGAGGAAGATCACAAGGCACAGGTCTGGGCAAGCGGTTCTTCTCAAAGAAGTCTGACATCACCTGGGTGGTATCACGGCCGATGACCGATGTGGTGCATCCCGTGTCAAGGATGGCATGTCCAGCGGGAACACTCGCCAATAAGGCATCTTCTGAGGAAATCATTGCAACATCAGTTGAAATTGTACCCACCATGTAAGCAAACGAAGAAACCAGAATCGATTCTGTCATGTTGGCTTCCTCCTTCTTGGTGGAACCTCGTGAGTCCTTCTGCTTGGTTTTGAAGTTCGACTTGTTTTGAGGCTTCTTGTCGTACTTGAATGAAGTCTTTTGTAAAGGAACTTGAGTCTGACCCTGTCCAGATGATTGACCCTGTTCTGTTGGCTGATTCAAAGCAACCACTGGGTAATAAGGTTGACGACTGCGTTTCAACTCCTTCACACGTTTCTTCGATTCCTTGTATGTACGAAAAGATTTCTTGAACTTCTCCTTTGCACGTTTCTGTATTTCATAGACCTCCTCAAGCTCTTGTTGAACATCTGAATCAGAAGTGTCGTTTGAATCTACAGCCATTGCATGTTCAGAACCATCGGAATCACCACTGTCCAAAACATTGATACTTGAAGAATCACTATCAACAGCCATGACATGTTGTTGTTGCACAACCATTGCATCACGACGACCAGGCTTGTTGTGGCTTCTTCGGTCATCTTGTCTATGTTCTTCGAAGTCTGAAGCCCTTAGGATTCTTTCAATGTCAGAAAACCTGGAAGACCCATTTGTGGCCCGAACTACTTGTGCACGTTGTTCACGACTCAACCCATACTTCCGCATAAACAGATGTCCCAAAACAGACTGAGGAAAAATTGGTTTGGGTTTCACATGACCCATTTCCAGAGTACCCAACATTTGTTGCATCTTCTTTTGAGCATGTGCCCAATCCTGTTCATACCCACCACGTGTGCCCGAAGCTCTGCGACGGGAACTGGTCTGAGACCTGGCAGTGCCTAGGGCGGAATGCGCCTCTTCTCCATGCCGTCCAGCTTCAGGAGGTTCGGCTTCGTCAGCAGGCTTGGCTGACTGGCTGCCAGCTACGGATGCACCAGAGGCTGGTGCAGGCTCAGGGGTTTTTCCATCTTGCTCAGATTGGGAAGCTTCTGAAAGCGTATGTTCAACATCACTATCATGCTCTTTCACAGAAGGTGGTTGGGACCCATTGGTTTTTCTACGTTTCACTCTAACAAGTTCTCTTTCTTGGCTGATCAAAGTCTCAACCCTAGCAAGCTGTGTCCTAAAACGGCTGGCAAAGGCTGTAGCTCCCTCCCCATTACGTCTTTTCAAGGAGAAAAGGAACTCATCTATGCTCTCATGCAGCTCTGTCTCAGGAAGAAACTTGTAGTGCTCGTCCAAGGCTTTGATGACAGTCAGAAAACCAGTTGGAGTGCGAAGCTCGGCAATGTTGAGGTGCTCGGTTGCACGCCATGCTTCACCAGAAAGTCTTGCTAAAAGTCTCGGTCCAGCAAGGTGTGCATGCTTATCCTCAAGGCCGGCTATGGCCAACAGTGTCTTGCGACGAAAGTCTCGATACCCAGAAGGCTTACCGTCAAAAGAGACGTGTTGCAGGGCATCCTTACTGCTATCCATCGATCAGCAGTCACAGAAGACCGTATGGTCAGGTTCGCCCGAAAGGGCCAGGACTTGCGTCCTCACAGATGTGCGGCAGCACCAAGCGTCGCAGGTCCTCGGAGCTTGACCTGCTCCGCTACCATGAAATTCCGGCAACGGAAATGGTGAACAGTTAGGGGTATTCCCTCACACACCAAACGCAGCAGCGCAATTGTTTCTACCACCAAGCCAGCTATGGCTTCAAGGGCCCTATGATTGAGCCGTAGTCCAACGGCATGCGAGGTCTCATCCAACCTGCAAGGCTAAATGAATGGCACTGTGCATTTCCATGTTCATAAACCATCCATCAGCAACTGTGCTTGGGGATGCGAGTACTATGGGATACTGCTCCTCCAAGCATCCAATGGTCCAATCGTCGTGTTCCAGGGAAATCAGCTACAAATCAGACTTTATATGTGTATATATAAAACTATAGACTATAGATATACTATTATAATATACATAATTTCACATTATCGTATATTATATATAATATATATAATATAATATAATATAATATAATATTAATATATATAATATAATATATATATATATGTAATCTATATAAATGCTTTAAATGCTTACTAAACGAATTCAGTCATAGAGACTTTTCTGGCCCTTTTCAATCATGGGTCTCGGAGTCCGGGCTGATCGCACTACCCTGATGATGATCAACAGGAAAAGGGACCTCGGCCCGCGGCCACCCCTCATGGAGGTTTCCGAAGTCATCGGGGGCCACCCCTTTATCGCTGGATGGTTTATTCCATATCCCATAGGATCCATGGTGCTGCTATATATGGTAACATGGATCCCATCAATATACCTCCAATGTTAGCATACCATACATGGATCCTATGGGTATATATATATATGCCATGGAAAAATCCGATTGAAATGGATCATTTATCGGGGCACCCCAATCTATGCCCGAAGCCATGACGGACAGCGAAGTGCTCACAACGATGGTTGAGCTGAAAAAAGAAACATGACAAACACCTTTGGAAGATCGGAGAGTCTCATCCCAAATACCGTGTCCAAGCTAGAGAATGAAACACCAAGCACTTCAACATCTTCCCACGACTCACCTCTTCAAGCCCCCTACTGTGAGTCTGGAATGGCTTAACAGATGTTAGCAGACCTTATGGTCTCCTTTCAGGTCCCGGCAGAATCAGCAACATCAGCACGAAGGAATTGATGATGGCCAGCCAGTGGATGTCCATATTCGAATGCCTGGCATTTTCACGACAGGCAGTCTCATTTGGATGTGATGCTACAGGTGAGGATATGTCATTGGAATATATTGGAATATGCACTATTACGGACTACATGATTATATAACCTACAGTATTGGGAATGTAACGGGGAAGAATATGCTACAGTAGTGGGAATATCATGTGGATATCTCCAACATTATCCAACCAACAAAATCTGATTCTTTGCATTTGTCCACTCCAATGGGGTATATTGTTGCGGTGGCTGGCTTGGTTAGAGCCTTGTCCACCGGCTGTGATCTTCTGCATCCGGGATCATGCCCAAATAGGATGGAAAATAGATCATACCCTCTGGTAATTTAACGTAGCTATTGAAAATGGCCATGTATAGTGAGTTTTCCCATTAAAAATGATGATTTTCCATAGTTGTGTTAGTTTACCAGAGGGTACTGTATATTGATCAATCATGATCAATCATTTCTCCATCATTTCGATCAAGTTTGAAACTACCAAAATCAATCAAATTGAAACTACCGCCCACAAACATGTTGGCGAACAATCGTTGACATCCCCAACAAATGGTGGTTAGCCTCCGGTAATCAAACATGGCAATGGAAAATTCTAGATAAGATTCCTGTTAAAACATGTTAAAACCTCCATTTATAGATGACTTTAACATATGATGATATAACATATGTCAATTGACTGTCCATTGCCACCTTTGATTACCAGAGGCTAATTCATGGTAATTCGTAATCCGACTTTGAAACACCACCGAAACCCAGCGATCCACGGATTGCATCGCACCCGTGCGGCATCGTGGACTTGAGTTGTAGCTCCAATGCCATCGAGGGAGGAATGTGTGGCCTCACGGTGGCCCAGGACACCAGATTCGTCTTTGGAAAAACTACAGATTTTCCCCATGTTTAATGGGAAAAATCATGGAAAAAACCATAGAAAAACCCATGGAAAAACCTGCAGATGTTCCCTTCATCTCCATGAAGGCATCCTAGGGCCTGAGTATTAAACTGGATCCATGCATTTACAACATCTGCAATGGTAGGATTTATGTATAGTTTTGCAAGCGTACAACAACATGTAATCTTTGTCGCAAATGATCGCTTAAATGTATGTTTGAATAGTACCAGACTCATGACCAACCAGCTGAAAACTGGGAGAGTTACCCTCTTGGAATTCCCACCTGGCAATGGAAATGTCCCTTAATTTTGCATCAGTTTATCAATGAATTCCCCACTAAGCATGCTACTTTTGCATGGCCACAGTTGATTACTCAGCAGCTTCGGTCTCCGCTCTGGGAGGTGGGTCACGAGGGCCTCTTCTCAACCCAGTGTCCGGGAACTGACCCATTCCCACTGTCCAAACGTTCTATAATGTGGTAAACCCAATGCCATAAACCATCCCCAACAGAGGTTTATTACTGGCTATACCTTGGTATACCATGGTATACCCCTGTTGGGGATGATGTAAAATGAGCCCCAAAAGGTTGTTCCTGAGTTCCAGTTTTGACCCCCGGATCTCCAAAATTTCTCCAGCTATGGCCCAAAAAACTGGCCAAAGCTTTCGTGGTGATGACTTTCTGCGTGATCTACTAAGCTGGTGCGTTTCGAAGTGCAAATATAGTATAGGTATGTATGTGTAAACTAAAACTATAAACATCTATAAGTCTATAAACTTAATGAACAATGAAAGTATCTTTGTAGAAATGTCAACTTGGGAAAGCAACCTCGGCTCTGCCAAAATGACCACGTCTGACCGGTAGCTGAGCATGTGACAGCGGCGTCCAGTGCACAGAATAGGAGAATTGGATCTCCTCAACATATATGGTTCTGGGCTTCTGATGGTTATGGGATGTTATGGGCTTATGGGATGTTAGAAATGATGGTTATGATTATGGTTATCTGATGGTTATGGGCCATAGAAATCCATAGAATCAATTAGAATCATCATAGATTGCATAGATATCCATAGAAACATCCATAGATTTCCATCACGATCCTACGAAATTGAAGTGAAGGGCCGATTTGCCTGGGGCTCGAGCCATTCCTTCTTTCCACTCCGTAATGTCTACCAGGTGCTCCAGATTCAGCCTGTGTTGACACCCCCTTTGGAGTTGTTGGAAGCATCACTCAAGGGGTTTTATGGACTGAACACATCTGGAAAAAAACATGGTTCAAAGCCGTTTTGGCGGCTAACATAACTATGGAAGATGACCCATTCAGTTCAATGATTTACCTACTAAAACATATTGAATACTGGTGATGTTCTATAGCAAACTGTGAAAAAACCAGAGGGCGCTCTCTACCTGAAGTTACCACTTGTTGAGAAAACATGAGAAAACACCACTTCCTGCCACCATCATCCAAGCCACTCCCGGGTGACATTCGCCGACACCACCTGCAATCAGCGACGGTGGTTGGATAATTATGGTTCTTTCCCTCAAGAACCAAGCCATATTGCAGGAAAATCCCATATATATATATGCATATATGTATATATGTATATATGTATATATGAATATATGTATATATGTATATATGTATATATATATGTATATATATATATGTATATATATATGTATATATGTATATATGTATATATGTATATATGTATATATGTATATATGTATATATGTATATGTTATGTATATATATATAGTTCTATAAAGTCACTGGGCATGAACAATCATGAGCATTTCTAGGGGAAATTGCACAAATAATATGTGCGACATGTTGAGATTTCCGTCAGCTCCATTCAGTTCCTGCCTCTCTTTCGTTGTAGCCAATGATGAAATCCAAGTAGTTCACCAGGAAGTATCTGATCGCCGAGGTGTGAAATTTCCAGCTTTCTGTGAATGAGAACATCCTTGGTCGAGAGTCAACAGATGACATCTTTTGTTTTCATGTCCTTTCATGTTCCGTCGCTATGTATCAAAGATACAGGTCTTCGAAAACTGATATGCTCAAACCGGCCAGGTGGGTATCCGCCCAAACGCTCGCGTTTTTTTAAATATGCTGTGATTGTTTTTGTTATCGTTTAGCTATCGTTTCGGAGGCCTGTGCAGGTTGCCATCTTCAGGCTTGATTAACACATGTATAAGCTCGTTATTTTTTTATATCTTTTTGTTTTACTCTTATCGTTTTCTGGGCCGGCAATGCATTGGCAGTGTCAAAGCGCAAGCAAAGCTAAAATGAAATGCCCGGGGTTATTATACTATCCCAAGTTGTTTTGCAAATTTGCAATATTTCAGACATACAGTATCATATTAAGAAGTAGCAACAAGTTCATTACAAGACCCAAGTTTCCACGCCGCGCCGCCGCACCGTCCCGAAAAAACCACCCCCCAATTTCCACCTCTCTGGCGAGTCATTGTCTTCGACTCCCATAGACGACTTGACCCCGAAGGGTCTATCCTCGTTTCATACCCCAAATGGTCAACACATATATTGGGCAATGGACTGAAACAATGTTTGTTGTATATATTTCATAGAAAAATCATGGAACATCTTATTGAAGACGGATAGTTCTTGACACGTTTGATTACCAAAGGGTATTCCGTGAACTTAAGGTGAAGCAGACTTTGGCACAAGTCTCAAGTTTCCACTTGAACCCTGAGGAAGTCCTGTTGTGGCAGGGGGCCAATGGTTGATCCTCACGTTCCCCAACTCCAGGATTTTCCGGGCTGAGTGGTGGGCGATGGGGAGTTCTCCTACGAACAGCTCGAACATGTAGTTCTGATCGATCGCTGACTGGCGCCATGGATGGCACGTGGTGAGGACTAACCCCCCGAAAACAAAGGCGTAAAACCGTAAGACATGCTCCAAACTGGAGGAAATCTGGGGATGTTGGGGCATGGAAACAATTTCTGTATGGATATATACCTTGATTAAACCAACTAAGGTCTTCTGGCACGTGTCAGCTGTTGCGATATACAGTCACTGGCAGCCGCCGCACCTTGAATTTCAAGATGTCCATTTCACTGACCGGCCTAGCATTTTCATCCAGACATTGCGACCGGGTCTGGAGTCTGACCATATTTCTTCCAAAAACATAAGAAAAGTACTGCCGCATGAAGGTTTCAATCCAAGGTCTAATTTCCCCTATATTGTGCCATCATGTGCCATCTATTTGGTCGTGGTTGGTCTTTGAGCGCCCAAAAATATAGTGCGTGAAATAGGGGTCATAACTCAAGTAGGATGAACAACATCCAAAATAGTTCCTGAAACTAAAAATCATCATTTCACCAAAAAACATCGAACTCAAAATGCGTTTATGAATTCAAACTGCCTGATCTGCATTACCAGAGGCCACGCCACAACACCAACAAAAATGATAGCTGAAGGGACCACATGTGTTGCGAACTGGTTTCCACTATGGTGGGGATGTAACCAGTTTGAACTTGAAACCCCGGCCCACTGTGAGCGAAATCATCTTGCTCGTGTCTTAACTACTGTTGATGTACATGGTCGTACCATTCTGGGCCAATTAGAGTTCAAAGTTGACCAGTGTTATACCAGTGTTCTAAGAGATATAAATTGTCGAGAAAGTGATTATAGAGGATATTCAGGATATTTTATCTAATTCAGAATCTTTTGCCACCACGTATACATAACCGAAGGAAGCTTAGAAGTCAAACTTCCGACAATATGGACAGATGAAAAGCAAAGATGGGAAGAGTCAGAGAGAAGAGAAGAGTAGAAGAGAGAGGAGCAAAAGAGAGAAGATCAGAGAAGAGAAAGAGTCAAAGGAAGAAGATGCAGGCGCGTTGAAACGTAGAAAAGTCGCGAAACACTGTCCGGAGGGTCGAAAAATAGGCTCGCTAAAGCGGCGGGTGCGGGGCCATCTGGGGAGATGAGAAGTGAAAAACTGCGCCGTTGTGGCGCGAAGCGCATTTCGAAGTCAAAATAAGCAAATCAAACCAGGTTCGGGGCACTTTTGGAAATTAAGATGTTGAAAAATTGCACGCCGTTGTGGGGCGAAGCACGTATGAAAGTCAAAAGGTAAAAAATTGAGGGTCTCAGACCCCTTTTGGAAATTGAGATGTTGAAAAAATGCACGCCCTTGTGGCGCGAACCACATTTCGTAGTCAAAATGTGCAAAACACCTCAGTGTCGGAGCGATTTTTGGAAATTGAGATGTTGAAAAAGTGCATGCAGTTGTGGCGCGAAGCACATTTCGAAGTCAAAATGCGAAAAGCAAACCATGTTTGGGCCACTTTTGCATGTTGAACTGCACCACACTAAACCACAACAACAACAACAACAACTTCTACTTCTACTTCTACTACTGCTACTACTACTACTACTACTACTCCTACTCCTCTACTCCTACTCCTCTACTCCTACTCCTTTACTCCTTTACTCCTTTACTCCTTTACTCCTTTACTCCTTTACTCCTTTACTCCTTTACTCCTACTCCTACTCCTACTCCTCCTACCCCTACTCCGGCTACTCGGACTCCGACTCCTACTCCTGCTTCTGCTCCTCCTCCTGCTGCTGCTGCTGCAACTGCAACTGCAACTACAACTACTACAGCTACATCTACAACTACTACAGCGACAACTACAACTACAACCACAGCAGCAGCAATAACTACAGCCACAACTACCACTACACCACACTTCAACTGCAACTCCAACTTTACATCCAACTCCAACTACAAGTCCAACTACCACTACTACAGCTACAACTACAACTTCAACATTACAACTACAACTGTCAACTACAGCTACAACTACACTACAACTTGAGCTAAAACTACAACTACAACTGCATTACACTACACTACACCACACTACACCTTTCACATTATATAACCTCTATCCTCCAGTAAATCGAATCTGGAACAAAACCATCATAGGATAATTTATCAAAACATATTGAACATGGAGGGTGGTATCTCCCGTTATGGATTTACCATGGACACTCAAAAAATGGATCCACACATAAATCCTGACAAACAAATGTAATTAACACCTCTGATCACTATTCCTGACATATGGTCATATTCATATTTAAAAAAACGTATATAACATATTTTACATGATATTTCATCATCATTACATGTGTATATATATATTATATATATATATATTGATTTATGTATGGATTATTTGTTCCTAAACTTTCCCGGCCGCCCCACCTGGAGCAAATCACCGTCCGTGGGACCTGCCGCTTCATATGCATGGGATACAGTGAATTCACCTCAGCGGGCGTTCAAAAGCCATGGGATCCATGGGGATTTACGGGGTCAGCTGCTCCAAATGCGGAACATACCATAGGGAAGTGGTGCCCCATAGTTAGATAAGTTGGTTTATAACTACAATAAGTGGGACTTATGGTAGATATATCTATAGTTGATGGGGGTTATAAACTAACTTATAACTGGGGGGCACCATCCTGTATAGGGAAACAGGCAAAAATGGGTGATTCAATGGGATGTCAATGGGATATACCCTGGGCTAAGCTGCAAAAGAATGTGGAAAACTATGGAAAAGCCAATGAGAAAACCGTTAGTGATCTACATTCATGGTCGCTGTTCCACATCTATGTAAACATTTACAGGAGGGCCATGGGAATGTAATGAAAATATCATGGCAATGCAAATGAAATATAATGTGGAGAATGGGAAGATATAACGGGCATATATCATGGGAACATTTATATATGGGCATGGTCGAAGCCATATGGGTAAACATGGGTGAGCAAGTCAATGCTGACCAGATATCAATTAGGGTGGATACATCATATCTACAGGTAGAGTTAGATAGTGTCGTGAAACAACTTATAACTTGGGGGGGCCTTTTATCCCCTTCCTGTAGGTTTTCATTGCATGGGAAATCCCAGCCATTCACTTTTTTGGCTACCTATCCAAGAATCTGGGTAAATTATAATATTTCACTAACCTGAATCTTGCGGCCATTTGGGGATCATTTCCCTATACATTCACCATGATTCCAGGTTTCGGTCGCAGTGAGGTCCTTATTATTTACCCAGAAGAATGTTTTTTTGTTCTCTCCACATCCCGCGTTGCGTTTACCGTAAGCGAATGCCAAAGGGCTAATCGATCGCCTCGCAGGACCTGCGATTGAAAATTACGGTGAATTCAGGTGGGTGAAGCTTCGATTCGAATTCACTGGCCTGGAAGTAACATCCTATGGACTCCTATGGACTCCGAATGCATTCTTGAGCTAAACATTGCTAAACATGGTTGACAACAAACAGGCTAAACAGGCTAGACATTGTTGACATCTCCAACAAAGTGGTAGCACCCAAGCAACAGCAAGCGTCATCCATGACTGCTACCCGCCTGACCAAGGGTCATGAAGTGAGGCATCACAACCTTCGGGTGGCAGAACGGGAAGTCATAGTACTCATACCTGGCACCGGAGCTGCACAGGCAGCAGTCAGGTCAGCGGCTTCCAACAAATGCGCCGGCAGGGCGTCTCTGTTGGATTTGAGTATGGCCACACCTTGTTCATGCCTGGGCAGATTCACCGATTCACCCGGATGGGATCAATGGGATGATGCCGACGACATCGTTGGGTCTGAGGACACGACTAACCTGGATTTCTTGATCATCTTCGAAGGCTGCTTCAGCGAGGGCCTCCATATTAGGACTGTCCAGCACTTGGGCCGGGATTTCATGCCGATGGAACTCATCTGCCACAACAAAAAAACATCAATTGATCAATTGGATTCATGTCATTATCATCCAGCATCGAGTGATTACAAAATTGGCCCATCCATCCCCGCCCAACATCCTTTTGGGCAGCGGGTCACCAGGTGATTCTCCAAGCATTTGATCGAAAAATATCTATCTCGCCACCACATCTGCCACGACACATCAGGGTCAGGATCGTCCCGCACTTCCACCATCTTGAGCTCAGCAGTCCATGTTTTTCTGTATTTCTTTGGCTCTTTATGTTCTTGTGTGGGTCAAAACCTGCTACCCGGAATAACAAGAAAGGTATAAAGTGGTTCTCCTAAACATCAGCCATCACCAGCCCATTTCTGCCACTTCTGAAATCCGGGTCCAACTCTGGATTTCTCAGCTGCCGTTTGACTCCAATAGCTTTCGCAAGCTGCCGTCCGCCAACATGACTTCAAAATTCTGCTCGCAGCGCTCAATCTGTTTCAGGAAGTACCTGGTGGTAGCGCCACAGGCGCCACTACGGGTTTTCACCACCGCACAAAAGGATCTCAGTCAAATGAGAACAAACACAATTGAATGAAAGGGCCCATCAGTTCTATGACATCATAAATATTACAAGATCCCCAAATGCTTTGTGTTTTTAACGTATGAAGTCCCCACCATTTCATGGCCAATCTTAGATATCCATTCGTTGCAAAAGACTAAAGTGGTAGAGGTATGAAATGTATTGAACTGTTCTCAAGTAAGTATTGCAGATAGAATCCCCAACCAAGGTTTACCCACAAAAATCTTCGGAAAAGATTGCTTTTCAGCACCGGGCTACTCGCGGTCTTGGATGGCCTCTACCTCAACGGCCACGTGTGGTTGGCTTCCAAAGCGTACGTGGTGTGTTTCGACTGGACAAGTTACCGTTGGACATTTTTCATGGAGAAACCAATGGATTAGGGTAGCCAAATCTAAAGAAAAACCCAAGACACGGTGTTATTAGTTGTGTGTCCCAAAGATATCATATTATATCATTCTATCCAATGAACATGTCCAATGAAATCCCCCCACGTCATGGTTGTATACCACTACAAATGTTCAAAATTATTGTAATGTTCCAAACATATGATCCATACATACATAATGACACAATCATAGAATATCATATATATATACCTATACGTATATATATATATTTGGGGCCTCATATATGTATCCCAGTATTTGGCTGTATCCCGACTATCTACCACTTGAACAAAATTCAAACCTCTCTCTTTTTCCTCGTATACTGTAGTATAACCTCTTAGAGTATCAACAAATTGATGTTTTGTTCGCTGCTCACTTGAGCAGTGTCAAAAACCAAGGCTTACTACAAAGTTTCGGGTATACCAGTGTCAATACTACAAATATGGCAGTTTTGCTTTCCCCATCTTTCCCCAATATCACCCAGTTGCGAACTGGTTCTACTGCCGCCTGGCTATTCGAAAATCATGGATTGTTGGCTGAACCGATTCCTGTGAAAAATCTTCGCTTTGTAGAACCTCAATATTGACAATAAATACTCTGATATTGGACAACTATACTGATCAAGAATGGTTAATAGTAACATTGATATGTGATGTTACCATTTATTTATGGCTTAATAGTATCATTTATTTATGGTCAATGGTTCATAGTACCATTTTTTTATGATGTACATTTACTCAATGGTTAATAGTACCATGTATTTATGGCTTAAAAAAACCTCTATACTGTCTATACTACCTAAAATCAACGGGTCCCATGCCCCTCCAGCAACGAAGAGCAAGGCGAGCAAGGCGCCGCGTGCGCCTTGACCAACAACACACCCTCCAGCTGTCGAGTGACCTGTATATGGGATCAAATAGATGTGGTTTTCTCTGAAAAATATCATTAGGAACAATAATCTAAAAATAATCTGAATGGTTTTTATCATTAGAATAAGATGATTAATTATAGATGGTATTGACCAATAATCTTCAAAGCATCTGAAAAATAGATGAAAAAACACATTACATCTATGTATTAGACAATAGGCTTCAGGCTTCCCATATGCATATTATGCATATGAAAATAGATGTCCTATGAACATTTTCTGGGATGATAAATAGGAAGATTCCGCCAATCCATAGCTGCCATATTCTGCCATAGCTTCATATCTCATCATCGGATAATCCAACAAAGCACTTTCTGAAATAGGGAAATAGATGATGAACCTACAATAGGAAAAAGTATGATAGTCCATAGGAAAGATTATGACAATCTAAGGAAAATGATGAAAATGATCAAACAGGGAATGTGGGAAACTGATGAAAATAGTCCGTCCATCATTTTGCTGTTAAGGTACCCCCAATGCAATGGATTAGAAATCAATAGAAATCATGTTTCATCGTTTTCCGTATTCAATAGCCATGGGTTATCATTGTTAGGGTATACCGCATTCTCAGACAGACCCAACGGCAAATAGATAGGTAGAATGAGATTCAATGAGATTTGCTTAAGATTATATAGGGATTGAATTAGATGGAAGAAAAGAGATTAGATGAGATTGTTTGATTGATTGATATTGATTGATTTATTGATTGAACAATGGATTCCCTGGTTGTTTGATAGATTGCTCAATGAATTCGTTGATTTTTGATTGATTGTTTGAACGATTAATTGATTGATTGTGTGTGTTGTTGTCTGATTGTTTGGTTGTTTCATTGGTTGCTTGCTTAACGGATTAATGATGGCGATCATGATAATGAGGAGGAGGAGGGAGGAGGAGGATGAAAATCAACATGAACATGAAAATGGGTCAATGTTACATATTGCTGCACAGGGTTCCTGATTTTGTATATGTGTTCTATCTGTGTGGATCCCGAAAATTGCTGGTGAAAGGGACGCTGTTGGTTTCTCTGCAGCAACTGCAGAATGTTGGCCTTTCAGATCATGCTCCCAAACTACAAAAACACGTGGGGCTAGAATTGAAGCTTCAGTTAAGAACATATATATATAATATATATATATATAGATAGATAGATAGCCCTATGCCCTCAATTCTCCTAGCCATTCTGTCAGTCCCAACAGCTTCAACAAATCCAGCAAAAACACAATTTGAGTGTGTCTGAAAATTGGGTCAAACCCCTAAATATATCAAAATACAGTAGCCTCAGTAGCATGTTACCCTCTGGTAAACTAACATAGCTATTGAAAATGGCCATAGAAATGGTGAGTTTTCCCATTAAAAATGATGATTTTCCATAGTTATGTAAACGTTTACCAGAGGGTAATGTATCTTAACAAGGGAAAAAATGATGTTCAAAACATGCCAAAACCCATCGATTCTCATCAAACTTCCTCGCCTCGCCGGAGACGGCTTCGAAGGTGTCACCAGAGCGTTTTCGCACGGCGACGATGGAGTCATGCGCTTTGTTGTGAATGTTGTCATCAAAAAAGATGTGTTGCACATCATCCTCCAGTGAGATCCACAAAGGTTTCCCTGACTCCGGGATGTACTTCATCTGCTTCCAATGGTTGTAGTCGTCCCGAATCGCAATGATGGGTTTGGATAGAATGAAGTCCAGAACTTTTGAATCGGGTCCCACTTCATCCGAAAACGCCTCTGAGTCAGGTGCACCCAAATCGCTTCCCAGGCCATCCTTCCCCAAGTACCTGGGTCCACGAGCCCGCTTGGAAGGCGGCGATTCGGAGCTATGGTATCCATTCTCAACCAAAAATGGTCAGCCAGTTGAAGTCACTGAGTTTCCCAACCGCTTAGTAGATATGACATCATATATTATCTTGAATGACCCATGGGTTATACCTTTCTTAACATCAACTTCAATCGTTCAGAAATCGACTCGTCCAGATGCTCCTTGTAGCGCCGCAAAAAAATGGGGCTCAGCACCTCCGAACGCTCGGCGCGTCTCAGCACCCAGAGGGAGTCCTCCGTCGCCAAGTCGAATCGTTCGGAGGCGCTGGGAAAGTCTGGGTGCTCGCCACGCGCAAAGGCCTGGTGAACTATGGGAACTATGGGATGGTTATTGTAGATAATGGTATAGATATAATGATATAATAATAATTATACTATATATATACATATATATATATATTTATATAATTATATATGTTGATACATACTATATATATACTGTATATATATATAAACTGTATATTATTTACTGTAGTTCATGGGGCTAAACATCGAAGCTACTGTAAACCCCAAAGGAACAAGATCTGCCTGGGCACCGTGCCGAAAGTGCGATAGGCGATACGGATAAAAATATATAAAGATAACATATTGACAAGTACCCAAAGCCCCACATTTTCAGGACAAGAAAGCGTAGTTTTGATTCCGGAGCACAAAGTGGTCAAAGATGTCAAAGTTGTGAAGGGAACTAGGGAACTCCTTAAGACATGTCTGCGTTTTGTGATGTTTTTTGAACGCGTCGATCACATCAAGCTCCTGGAAAATGGATGAAAATGGATGAAAATGGATGAAAATGGATGAAGATGTTACCGTAATTATGGTAATTACACCATATCATTCACCCCAAGAGCGTTATCCTTAAGGAATCCTTCGGGATATCTTGGCCTTCCTGGGACCCTCCTGGATGGGCTAAAAATCGCTGAAGGCTGGAAGACTAGGCGAGGCCTTCATCCGGATCTTGGGTATCATTTGGGTTTGTCTGAAAATCGGCTGGCAATTCCAATCCTCAGTTTCCCTATGAAAACAGATCATAATTTGGAATAACTTCCAAATTATCCTATATTTGGAATAATTATCATAATTGATATCATTCCAGTATCCCATTCCAATTATCCTATAGAAAATTGCTGTAACGGTGGGTATCCCCTTGAGACAAACCCATTTGCTGGAGGGTATAAACCCACTTGGCCCGTCGTGTACCTGAATGCATTTGGCAACTTCAGGCAAATCAGTTCCAAAGGTGCGGATGACCACGGAGAAGTCTCGCCCTGTGGATTGTTTGTTCTGTAAACAATCGAAACCACCAAAGATATTATAGCGAAAATCTGCTGAATTGTAGTGGTTCGCCCATCTTTGGGATGTTTTGCCACTTAAACATAAACTCTATCATTCAACAGTTTGTCTAATCACATCATGCTGAGTCATCATACTTTTGCAACAACATCAATGGTTCCTGTTTCTTCACCATAAAAATCCACACTCACCTCACTCAACTCATGTACAAGTATCAACTGCGTTGTTTTTCCTTTTTTTTGCCCATCTGTGCCTTGCTTCTCCAGCTCTGCCAGGGTATGAAAGAACGCCGGCAGCAGAAAATGGTGTCCATCGGGGGCAAAGGTCGCATTGGGCGCGTGTCTCCACTGCAGGGCCTCCTTCAACACCTCGAAGTCCTTGCGATAGATCTCCCCCGGCAGTCCTATCGCGCAAAGGAGACCACCATTTTCTAGGACAGTTGTAGGCCATAGATGGCTAGATGGCTATAGGATGGCTATAGGATGCTATAGGTATTTTTTGTTAGGAACCACAGCACCTTGATTTACCTGTCTGATAATCATTGCAGTAGTAGATGCAGCCATTCGATGGCAATTTTTGTGACCAGATCCTTGGCCTGAATTTCAACTGATGAAATCTGGACGGTGAAAGTTCACCAGTCACCCACCAGTCACCCACCAGTCACCCACCAGTCACCCACCAGTCACCCACCAGTCACCCACCAGTCACCCACCAGTCACCCACCAGTCACCCACCAGTCCTTCTTCCGTGAATTTCCAGGGTGGCCAAATGGGATCCCGCCGATTCACCTCGTAGCATTTCTGCACCTTTTCGAGCTCAAAGGTGGTCAGCAAGGGAGGGGCCGTTGCCAAGTCCATACGTTTCGACAGCTCCAGGGGAGATCCATCATGCCAGGCATCCTTGGAATCGTTCAGGAAGGCCACCTTCGCCAGGATGTTGTTCAAAGACGCCTCGAAATCGACGTCAGAGACCGGATCGCCCACCATGATCGTCTCATTGACGTCGAAATGGAGAACCAGGCGCTTTTTTGGAGTTGCCATGGAAAAAGAAACACGGCGGAAGACTTGACGCTCGCTCTTGGCAAGTCTGCTGAAGAGGGCAGATGTGAAGGATCGATCTAAGTTTGGATTCAAGTTGGACACAAAGAATTCATATCTTCAAACTAATTCATGCTGTGAACAATTGCATCCTGAAATGGCCGCGAAAGAAGCTGTAAGTGGTGATGAGCCGCCATCTTCCATATTGTTTGGTCAACGCCACGTTTGCTGCTTCTCAATGTACATACATACACCAACTATTGTCCACCTTCATGTTTCTATCCATTTATTGTCCACCTTCATGTTTCTATTTTATGTGAAGATATGTGTGTTGCTTTAATTTATAGGTATATATAGTTATTTATTATGTATATCTTATGTATATCTTAGCCGTTACATTTCTGGCTTCAAATCCATTCCAAGCACAGCACCAAGACCAGCGTGAGGATGGCACTTCTCATGGAGACCTGAGCTTCTCGAAGCGGCTCAAACCTGGGGTTTTTCACAGCCCATTCCCATAGGATCCATGGTGCTGGTATATATGCTAACATTGGGGGTATATTAATGGTAAATGTTACCATATATGGCATACATGGATCCGTCATGGGATTTGCCAATGATTCCTGTTGAAACATTCAATTTTTGTAGGTGAAAACAGTGAACATCCATAAAATCCATTAAAAAAAAAAAACATATCCCAGAAAAATTCCATTAAAAAAAAAATCCATAAATCCCAGCCATTCTGCGGGGTCTCGGTGCCCCAGCGCCGCGCTGGGAACTCCTCAGATCTTCCAAGCCATTCTCCCAGCCCCGCCCTGCTCTTCGCTGAGCCCAGAAGCCCAGGCGGTTCTTACACCCAAAATATGGTCAAAAAGACGGCCATCATGGGAATATATACAAACACATGTATCTTAATGTTATAACTTATATATATATATTTATATATCATATATACATGCGATATACGTGTGATATGTATATGGTGTATATTGGTGTATTGTGCTGTGGGATATAATGAAATATATCACGACCAATATCTGGGCTTTTCAGATCTATCACGGGAGGAGTTACCACCATTTTATGGCTAATTAGTGCTAATGATTTGAATAATGATTTGAAGATTGACAAAGTAAGGATGAAGAATCTAAAAACCTCTGGATGGAATGTGGTTCCAAGTTTTGTGGCTGGCACTTTCCAAGGGCACAGTTATTCGATACTCTAAACTTTGTAAACCATTTCTTGGACGACAGAAGCATCTGGTGCCGAACATGGTTGCACCATGTCCGTTCAGAATTCATATAATTAAGTCATGCTTGTCTAATTGTAACCTCCAAGTTTATGTAAATCTTTAACGTGTTTAAATATGTTTAAATACTATTGCTGCAATCCCGCACGTATAAATCCTGGAAATCACTCAAAAGAGGTCACACTTGACCCCGCTTCGCAGCTTTTTGAAACGCGACAAAGCTGCACAGTGCTGAAGGTTGGGCCATGTTTTTTGGCCTCAAAACAATCCGCTGTTGATGATGACCACTGGCAGCAGCACTAGCCTCAGTTTGCTTAGCCAGACTTCAAAGTGGTCAAGGGTGTGAGTTTCTCCGCATGCTTGTTCTGTGGGTATGGGTTACACATGGTTACAAGTTCGCGATCTTGCAACAGAGTCTTTGGCTCTTTTTAAATGGCAGCACTCCAATTTTTGGTGGGTTCCCCAAGCAGGAAGTACAATTGACATCGACAAATCCTTCCCTTCAGCAGCTCCAGAAGTCCACTAAACTGGGCAAATCCGAACCATGAAAGTGTAGCTTAGATGGGTGAGGTTGCGACAGACTTTGCAAAGAAACATTGTTTTTTTTTCAAAGAAGGAATGGGAAATAAGACATAATAAGACCATCTTTGGGATAGTTCCCAAATGTTCCCAATGTATATAAACTAATCGAATCTAATTTAATCTATGCATCCATCCAGCATCATCAATGATATCACTGCTATTCTCATGCCGTAGTCCGGCCCCACCACATCCCAGCGCTCGAGTCCCCGGGCGTGAGCGCCAGGGGCACGAAGACATGGCAACTGAATTTCCGTGCCGCTGGGACCAGCTCCTGCCAATGGGACACCCGACGGGTAGCCAGATCCCCTGCGGCTGGAGTTTTTAGGTTTGAAATGGTGATAAATGATGAGCAGACTCATTCTGAGTATCTCTGAAAATTTGGGGGAAAGCCGGAAAAGCTCCTAAATTTGATGATTCATCATGTCAATCACCATGTTCCCCTTTTTACAAAAGATGCCGTCGAATTCGGTACACCCCATTTTCAGATGCACCTGGCAGAGTCCTCCAAAGAGACTGAAAACCGAAAGAAGTGCGGCTGTACCCTCTGGTAATTTAACATAGCTATTGAAAATGGCCATTTATATATAGTGAGTTTTCCCATTGAAAATGGTGATGTTCAATAGCTATGTTAGTTTACCAGAGGGTAATCCAGATCCATATATCTGGGTGGTTCTCCATGGTTCTCCAATTTCCAAATAGATTCAACCCACCAAGATCACCAAGTTCTCGCTGGGAAGGAAATTGGAGGTGAAAACATGGTTGCACCAATCAAAACTGGAGATTCCAGGATTCAAGGGCAACACACACATAATCAAAACATGGGGGTGGGACATGGTGGGACCGGGACCCACAAATGTGTGGGTCCTTCCTGGAGTCAATGATTGATCGTTTCACCTTACAGCATGAGTCATCTGGGCCCACATCACGCCAAGTAGGACGTGTTTGAAGCTTTGAAACCAGCATCAATCAGTAGATAATAATAGATAAAATGTATGATAAAGTATGTACATGCATGCACATGGCCATGACTATCTGAAGGTCACCGACAATACTGTGTGTATTTATCAAGGCAGGCATTACCATCCTCTGAAGGAACCTGCTTGGAGGGGCCATGTCCCAATGTTATAGTGGAAGGCTTGAAACATGTGGTGCACGTAAGGATCATCCCACCAAGTAACTGCTATGAGATTGGTCATTGAGTCGTGGTTCATTTTGATGTTCTAAAACCTGGCAATAAGCAGGAGAACCCCAGTTAGAGGACATGTTACATGTTTAAACAAAAAACACGTTTAAAAACATCATCAGTCGCATTCAGTGGGATGATCCAAATAAAAAAACGCTCGCTCCCAGTGGTCCATCCATGTCCATCCTCGGGGTGGACCACACTCATGACACCCAGCACGGTGTCCTGAGTGGAGACCCTCACCGCTACTCCAATAAAAACAACAGGCCAGAGCAATCTTCAACAGGCCGCAATGGCAATGGTGGGTCCTATCTTATACTGGTTGCATTTCCGCAGGATTTCTAAGTTCATTATGATCATCTGAAAACAACGATAATGGTCGGTACAATATGCTGTAATCATCAAGAAACTGATAAATGCATATGGACTATGATAATTCTGGATAATCATGGATAATCATTAATCATGCATAATCATGGATAAGCATGGCTAATCATGGTAGTCATAAATAATATGGACTATGATAATCATGGATAGTCCACAATACAATAATATCATCATCATAGTATCATTATCCATCATAGTATCATTATCCATATTATCATTATATCATTATCCATCATATCTGGGCAAATTATAATAATTCACTAACCTCAATCTTAAGGCCATAAAAGGGGATGATTTCCTTTACTAACCATCATTCCCAGTGAGGGAGAACAGTGAGGTCGTTATAATTTACCCAGATACATATCTCAATTATATCCCCATATCTTTGATACTCGAAATCTCTGGCACATGATGGTTAAATGCCCAGCTTTTTAACTAACCATCATATGATCATGATTTGTAGTATAACCCCCGAAGAAAAAACGCATCAGTCGCCACAAAACCGCCAAGGAGCCGTTGGAGTCTCCTCAGGCGAAGCCGCAAGGGCAGTTTCCTCAGGCCAGGCGAAACATGTGTTGCTTTAGTGTGACTACATGCTGTAACACACACACAGAGACACACACACATATATATATAGATATACATATATATATAGATATACATATATATATATAGATAGATATATATATATATAGATATATATAATATTATATATAGAGAGCTGATTTTCATAGCCAAATCACCAAAATATGTGCATCAAATCCACCATTTCACCCATCCCAACGGATATCCCAACCCACAGCCGCGTCTCCGGGAAGTCGTTGACGCTTTCAAAGGACCGTCCCCGACGTGCCGCATTGGGCGCGCTGGGCGGCATGGAACTGCGGTTCCCGTAGTCCACATCCATTCGGGCACCTGGCAGAAGGGACGACTCAAGTTGTTAACTCAGATCCAACCATGATCCAGACTTAGTATTTTTTGTGTATTATATATATACATATGTGTGTATATATATAGGTTTATATATGTTAGATCACATGATATGGTATATTGGAATAGGTCTGTGTGAATTATAATATCTACGTGTCTTGATGTGTCTTGTCTAGTGGATACACATACGCAATATGTTCAATACTTGAAGCTGGACAGGAAGGACTCATGGAGGCGCTGGAGGCAGCCAAGATACCGTTGATAATGTACGCTGTGCCTAGCACCAAGCTGACACGCGATGCAAACTTTAGATGCCTGCAGTTTGTTACAAATCCACAGCCGGGATCAGCGTTCCTTGTCAGAAAATCCTTCAGTGAGTGATGTGGGCAGTGCAATTACTAATTACAGTACAATTTCCTCTAATCACATGCAAAGATACATGTAATTCCGAGATCTATCTCAGCTTGTGCATCGGTGTATTCCGGGTTAAAGGATATATCTCTGTCAGCGGTATGATCGGACCGCTTGTTTGTTTCCAACCACTGCTACTGTTCTTTCCATGGCCAAATTTGTTTCAAGGCCCCACCAGCTGCGGGTCTTTTAAGGCCCCCCACGCACTGGGGCCCACTTCTTGCCCTTGAACCCGGCACTTTCAACATCTGCCTCCGACTCGTCGATTCTCCACGGTTTTTTTTCAATTCTTAAAAGAAACATCAACAGCAGTGGACCAAAAGGGACTACAATATACTAATATATAGTGTATATATATATACACTACAAACAAGTTTGGCCGCGGTTCTTGCTAGATCCAATTCTGAATGGGTGTTTCAATGGTGCAGAAAAATACCTCATTGGCAATGGAGACTTCACTATTTATAGATGATTTTCCCATTAAACTCTCATTTATAGGCGATTTCCCAGCTAGCCACGCTTGATTACCGAAGGGTATACAGTATACCCGACTGATACCCTCTGGTAAATTAACATAGACCCTGAAAATCACCATTTGTTAGTTGAAACTAATCTTCCAACCCCTATTTGCCAGGGTCTATGTTTATTTACCAGAGGGTATTATTAGAAACTACCAGCTATCCTCCCAGCCTCTGCTGGAGTTTGGGAAGCCCTTGGAGCTGAATCTGACGCAGTGGCCTTGCTGGCGTCCCGAGATGCTGAAAATCAACTTGCTGGGCGCGTTTGAAAATGAAGGATACCCTCTGGTAATGACTAACGTAGCTATTGAAAATGACCATTTATAGTGGATTTTCCTATTAAATATGGTGATTTGTTATGTTAGTTTACCAGAGGATACATCCCCAATTTAGATCAATTTTGTGCAACTCTTCATGTGCAATATGATGAGAAGATTTCTTGATTTGGGATCGAAAAGGGACTGTGTGTCCAAAAATGGGGGACACCAAATATCCCCAAACGACCCTTTTAGTAGGACAAATTAAGTTTTTTATCATCAAAATGTGGGTTCACCTAAGTTTTCAGTTCAGTTCAGCCCCCTTGAAAAGACATGAAAAGACAACGATTTTTTCCAGAGGTTTTCTCTGACCACCAGTCCTCCTATCTGCCGGGCCACAGCGCCGCCACTGCTGTCAGCTCTCTCAGCGCTACTGGTCGCAGTCAACTCTGTTTCCGCTGTGAGAGCCCGAGCCTGGAGGTTGTCATCTATCCCCTCAATTGAAAAATGAATAAAAACGGTGGTTTCATGGTGGTTTCTCCATCTTTCATCGGATTTTTCATGCGATTTCATGGGATTTACTCCTGATGACTCATGACCAAGAAACCTATGATTCGTTGAGCAACAAAGTTAAAGATCGGACGGACGGAGTCCAAAGTAGCGAATAGGTGGAAATTCTCCGACAAAAATTGGGGGTTGCAGCAATAAACATAGGGAAGAGAACCATCAAACAGATCCAAATATGGGGGAGGAGTAGTTTTTTTCTCGTAAAGGGAGCATCGAAGAGGAAGTAGTGGAAACTAGGGATGGGTCAAGGAAAGAAATCACCGATCCCTGACTTATCCCATCTAGAAATGTGGGATGAGCGGCTCCCCTTCAAAAAATAACCGTTGGCGAACTGGGTGATGGCCCATTCAGAGAGCTTCACCTATTCAAAATCACATGATTTTCCATAGCAAACGGTTCAATTACTAGAGGCTAGTCAACTGAAATCATGAAATTTAAAATAGCTCATGGATTTTCATGGTATATTCTTACTATATATGTTTAAAACATGTTTAAGCTAATATGATCGATCTATAAATTCATCCACCTCCACCAGCACCAGAACCAGCCTCGGGGCTCGACCGGGCCACGTAAAGCCTTTTTGTTAAGCCGGCAGCAATGGATCGCTTCTCAACCCGGAAAGCACATGGATTTTCCCATGATTTTCCCATGTATATATTTGGGATTATTTGTGGGTATTAATCATGTTGAATCTCTAAGAATGTCCCTCGACAACATCCTTAAACCAGTCCGTTGCTGGAGATTCTCGGGATCCATGTGGTGCCCAATGACCATCCATCATCCGTCTAAAAGGGAACCCTATTTGCCACCGAAGAACAAGCATCGTTGCCAGATTTGATGCACCAGTAAAGGTAGAAGGAGAAGCAGAAACCAAAGGCTTCGTGAGTCAGGACGGAGAAACTCCTTCTCTTGCACTCCTGGACGCAACAAAAAGATTAGAGCAATTCCAAATCATGCTCATATCAGAATCATTTCATATCCTATACATAGTATGACATGAATATATAAATGATATATAATATAGATCCTAAATGTATATCATAAATAAATATATATATATTTAGATATTTTTATATTTTATGCATATGTTATAACATATGCATAAAATATAAAAATAGCTAAAAATGATAACATTGATGATATAGTAATGAAATAGTAATGAACAGCAGGTCACAGTCCACGGTGGACACCGCTGGACCCAGTCACGCCTTCACACTGCAGCTGTCCACTCAGCGTCCCAACGATGCCGTCGATGCTTCGCTTCAGCGCCTCGTAGTCCTGGCATCGAGGCTACCCAGGACGATCATCAGAGAACCATAAGAGAAACGACTTTGGGGTGCAGTGGAACCAGAATTTCTGTGGGCTATATATATATATGTAATTATGTATGTAATTATGACCGTAATTATATATGTAATTATATATGTAATTATATATGTAATTATATATGTAATTATATATATACATATGGCTATTGGCTATATTATCTATATTTCACCATAGTTCTAGGGATAATCACACCCAACTCATGGCAGTTCCTAGATGTTACCATAGGTGCAGCATGTTGTTGCCGTTAACCCCAACTGCACCCCCAAGTAGAGTACCTGCCGGGGCATCGTAAAACGGGACATTGAAATATATATATACCCTCTGGTAAATTAACATAGCTATGGAAAATCACCATTTTTAATGGGAAAATCCACTATAAATGGCCATTTTCAATAGCTATGTTAGTTTACCAGAGGGTAACATCATTGGCCTTGGTGAATCTTAATCTTTGATGACATGGAAAAGCCTGGCCATCCAAAAGTCGTTTTACCACTTCCACGTCATAACTTGGGAAGTCCCCTGCAAAATGAGGAAGTCAATCGACCCAGAGGAGAATCAAAAAAACGGTTTCACCAAAAATGGTGAGAATCAAGCCACCACAAATTGGATTCCCTTGCAAACATCTGCAAAGAACAGGGAGTCATGCAGTTGCGCAACAACTGGATTGCGAATGATTGCGACCCATCTTCAACCTGAAAATGATGGGGGAACTCCATGGAAACTCCATGGAAACTCCACTGTTAATCATGGTTTTCCCATATATTTCTCCTACTACACATGGAGGTATCCCCCATTTTAACAGAAACCCATGCCATTATGCCATGGTCTAAAGTTGGACTATACATCCATATTGGGGGATGGTCATACCATCATGCATAGACAATTGCAGTGGCCAAAATATCCGGATTTCGCAAAACATAATGATGGGATGACCATGGACCATGACCACAGGTGGTTGGGACACCTTCGATCCACTAGTCACGTGCTAATGATGATCGAATTTATTCAAGAAAGGGCTGGGTCTCCTATATTTGCAATTCATCTAACAATATCACAATGCCTACCCTTCAGCTTATTTCGTTCTAGACCATCAATCAGAATCATTCCCATTGTAACTGTGATAACGATCTAGACCACATTGTTTTGCACGAAGGAGAGCACCAAGCACGAAGGATCAAAACAAAGTTTGTCCAAAATATAAAGACATCCATTTTTTGATTGTCACAGCTATCAGCTATTAGGGCAGGTGCAATATAAATGATACACGTCGTGGACGTCTTGGTGTGAGCCCAAACAATCTACCCTCCGGTGTCATCAAACATGGCTAGCTGGGAAATCCTCTATAAACCGTTATAAACTCAGCCTTTCATTGGGAAAATCATCTGATCATATCTGATCTACAAACTATAAATATCAGGATTTTATAGGATTTTCGCAGGGTAGATAGCTCATGATAGCTCCCAAGGCCCAGGAGTCCTCCATGCGAAACATGTAGTTGCAGCTCCTGGGGTATGGGTTCGTTGTGGAGTCTGTTGATTTCATGGCACTGGCTGGGCAGCAAGAGGACAAGGCGTACAGAATCTCTTGGTACTCCTTGTCATCCTTCTCCTAGAAAATCTCGAAAAGAAGGTCCAAAAGCGAAAAACGTTTTTTGCTGGGACAAAAAAAAAATTGGGGACCATCGCTATAGCCAACTGATATCACTATACATTTATATACAATATATACATGTATACTATACGAGAATTCACATCGCCTATAGTGTTTCAAATAGCGTCTCAGAAGCTGTGGTTTATCTCCTGGTTTTTGGAGAAAATCACCTGGAGACTTTGGATGTTCATAGCGGCCTTGACTGGTTTTGACCCATCACCATGTCATGATTTTATGATGTTTTCTGCTTTTAACATATTTTATGCTTTGGGATGTGGCTCGAAAACTGCATCCTATAACGGGCCATAGCGGCCATAGCATCGCTTAGCTTTGCATCTTCGACACACCATCCTTAGGTGATCCTAGAGCGGCAAAATGCCAAAGCTGCCATGTACCCTCTGACATGTTCCTGTTCTGTTTCCACGTTGTGAAGGTCAACTTCTCAAAAGGCGAGAATTGACCGCAGAAAGTCGTGGACTTGGATAATGCGCAGAATACAGGTCACTAATGGTCACTAAGCTACTTCAAAAAAGACTAGCATTCTCTGCGATTTGGGTTTGTTTCATAAAGAGGGAAAACAAGAACAACAATCAACATAGGATTTGGGATACCCTATTTTAAGGAAATCTGATTTCTTTGTTTCCACTGAATCTTGCTGTTTTGTGTTTGCGTGTTGCAATGACAAATAACCAATCACCGCATCTAAGCCGAACACATCTGAACACTATATCAACTATTATCAACTGGCTTGTGATCGCCCGCTGTCAGTGACCTTTATTGTCGGCTTCACTATCATCTATCAAAAAGGGAGTCCATATTCATATCATCCACACATCTCGACATGCAATCAAAACCATGGACTCTCATAATCTGTAGAACAGCCCAGAAGGTAGTCATGACAAGTCGTTTCCTTTGGCAAAATGCCAAAGCTGCCATGTACCCTCTGACATGTTCCTGTTCTGTTTCCACGTTGTGAAGGTCAACTTCTCAAAAGGCGAGAATTGACCGCAGAAAGTCGTGGACTTGGATAATGCGCAGAATACAGGTCACTAATGGTCACTAAGCTACTTCAAAAAAGACTAGCATTCTCTGCGATTTGGGTTTGTTTCATAAAGAGGGAAAACAAGAATAACAATCAACATAGGATTTGGGATACCCTATTTTAAGGAAATCTGATTTCTTTGTTTCCACTGAATCTTGCTGTTTTGTGTTTGCGTGTTGCAATGACAAATAACCAATCACCGCATCTAAGCCGAACACATCTGAACACTATATCAAACATTACCAACTGGCTTGTGATCGCCCGCTGTCAGTGACCTTTATTGTCGGCCTCACTATCATCTATCAAAAAGGGAGTCCATATTCATATCATCCACACATCTCGACATGCAATCAAAACCATGGACTCTCATAATCTGTAGAACAGCCCAGAAGGTAGTCATGACAAGTCGTTCCCTTTGGCAAAATGCCAAAGCTGCCATGTACCCTCTGACATGTTCCTGTTATGTTTCCACGTTGTGAAGGTCAACTTCTCAAAAGGCGGGAATTGACCGCAGAAAGTCGTGGACGTTGCACAGACCCCACCAATCTTCTCACATGAAAAGCACAATTCTACACAATATTGTTGATTGGTGCATTGGCCTTTTCACACCATTTCAAAAATATGGCAATCGGGAACATCATCATCCCGTTTTCAGGGATGGAAGATACATGGATTGGTTTTCACGGGAAAATCTTAACCGGAAACCATCGATTTTCCCATTATTTCTATGGGGCTTAAACCAGTAAATTTTCCCAACAAAACCAATCCATTGATGGAAGATACATGGACCGAGGCGAAGTTGAAGCAATATCTCTCCATTGCGAGCTCCGGAGCTCGCTATTTCGTTGGTTTTTGCACCGAGTCTTGACATGGACCCATTCTGAGATCCAAATGATGCCAACTGTTGGTTGTATAGTTCTAATAGTGTTCTATATATATATATATATGTTCTATGTGTTCTATATGTTCTATATGTTACCTATATGTTCTATATTCCTACTGAATACATTCCTAGCATGTATTCCCGTTGTATATATAATACATACTGTACTCCACTTATCCCCTCATCTCCACATAAAATAGTTGCTTTCATGTCATACCCCATTCATTTCATGTATTACCCTCTGGTAATGACTAACATAGCTATTGAAAATCACCATTTATAGTGAATTTTCCCATGAAAAATTGTGATTTTCCATAGCTATGTTAAATTACCAGAGGGTAGCATCATTTTTCCAACGCCCGCCCATCTCCTTCTCTTGCTTCCCCACCAGGATTCCCAAAATGCTGACATTCGTCGCAGACTTGATCCACTGCGCTGCGAGTCTTGGAAGATCATTGCTTCCTGGGTCAAGTCGCATCGGCTGAAGGTTCTTGCGCCAAACCCAAAGGGGCCCGGATGGTACCCTAAAAGAGATGGTTTGTGGATGTTTGTGGACGGTGATTTCCCCCAAAATATGGCACTATCAGATTATGACCCATCCTATGAGGTCTTGATGGAAAGAAAAAAAGCCCTTCCTGATCCCTTTTTGAAAGCCACAAGCTGGGAGTTCTCACAGAGAGGTACTGAGATGTATGAGCAACAATGTGATGTTGGGTGTGTCTGAAAATGAAGGTTTCAATCCAAGCAGCTTCTTGGGATACAGAATTATATGGGATATCACGTGAGAATACGATTCGGTAGGATCCTGGGGAATTGCCGTAACGAACCAACAACATATGATTAAAATTAAGATTATTTGGTGGGGTGTCTGGAAATTTGCATAACACCACCAAATAACCCTCCATCTTGTGGCCCATTTATAGAGGGAAACCCAGATGGAATGGCTGGAGTTCACTTTCGGTGGATCTCAGTTTCTGGGTAAATCCACCGGCGCGATCCACTCGGTGATGATCAGTTCCCAGCAGTTTCAGGCCCAAAGAACCACCCAGATCACCCAGTGTCTGTGAGAATCGAGTTTCCTGTTCTCAAAGACTTGTGGCCTGGGCGAAAATCAGATGCAGTGGCTAGGACTATTGTTTGAAGCACTTGTTGATACTTGTTGTCATCCAATGCCAAGAATTTAA